AGAAGGGCGCTGTCTGGATAGCCTAGTAAAGAAGGACTATGTGGCCTCTTCCTTGGACATGCGCGCTTCTAACTATAAGGCCTTCATGTCTGGTATTGTACTCCATCCCGAGACGCTTGTAGGGGACGGCATAGAAAAGCGTTCAAAAATAAGCAAGTAAATACCAGGCCTTCCTTTGGGAAAAGATGGGTATCCTGGCAGAACACCTCCCGGCCCATCTCCATGATTCTTAGACAGGGTGATTGGTCTCAAGGATGCATACTTCCACATGGGAAACTTGAATCTGAAGTAGCTGTTATTCTTAAACGGTATATCAACCAGGAGCTTCAGGCATCCAGCCTGTCTGACACAGGATCTGTAGAATATATTTGCATATTTGTTTGTTTGTTTATTTATTTATTTAAAGTTTTTCCATTCTGCCCTATTACAAAACGTCTCAGGATAGTCGTACAATAAAAATCAAAAAGCACAGTATCACATCCTCAGTAAAAACCCTATTAAAATAGCATTTAAACCTTAAAATACCGGGAAAATAAAAAGGTATTGTCCTGGCGCTGAAAAGAATCAAGTGTCGGCGCCAGGCGCACCTCTCTAGGAAGCATATTCCATAACCAGGCCCCACCGGAGAGACGGCCCTTCCCCAGGTAGCCACTTTCTTAATCTCCTTCAAAATGGGCTCCTGAAGAAGGGGATCTGACCCAGATCTTAAGAGGTGGGCAGGCACATAGGGAAGGAGATGCCCCTTCAGATATGCAGGTCCTAAACAGTTTAGAGCTTTATAGGTCTTCACCAACACCTTGAAATGGGACCGGACATCAATTGGTAGCCAGTGTAGATGGTAAAGGACTGGCGTTATATGTGCATATCTGCTGGTCCCTGTTAACATCCTGGCTGCTCTATTCTGAACCAACTGAAGTATCCGGACCATATTAAAGGGCAGCCCAACGAAAGTGTGTTACAATTGTCCGTAATGATTAAAGAATTTGATTTCTGCAACCATGGAAACATGGCAATGCATACCTGAATGCCATGACATCATACTGTTGACTAACTTGAGGGTGCCTTTGAATTAATTAGTAAAGAGCCCTAGGAATTAAAATGACCCAGTTCTGAAGTGCCCCTACTTCCTAAGCAGGTCAACAAGGTCAAGAATTACCAGAGTATTCTTGATGACACCTTTTGTTTTGACAAATGAATATTTAGCTAGATGTAAATTAAATTGTAAATTAATCATGAGACAAGAAATTTCTCAGCTTTCTTTTCATTCCTACCAAATGCTTGTTCCCTTCACTTTGTCCCATCCTGGGTCTAGCCTCTGAACTCTTTGTTCTCTGTGTTTCACACATTATAGGGTGTTTGGTTAGGCATTCATTCTTTCTGTTTGGGTATCTGTCATGTTGCTGGGTTTCAGCTCTCAAAGGAAAAACACACAATCCACTTGGCTTTAGTATTGCTCCTTGTGACTCTTTTGCTGCAATATTCTCTTTTCTGCTATGGTGCTTTCTAGGGCCAACGTTTGCCTTGTGCTTTTCAACTTAACCATCTTATTGCTGAATTTGCTTATGGAGATTCATTACCTTGTAAATAGTGGCAGTGGTGGTGTGGGGAGCACTTTATCAACCTTGGCAAAGTGGCCCTTGAGTCTCAAAGCTGAGTTTCATACATACAGGAATGCAATGTGATCTGCAAGGCCAGGCAGACATTTGTGACTGTTGTGTGAATTGTCAGCACTGAGTCCATGAAAAGTGGTCAAGAATTTAGCCCAAAGTATTGGGAAGAGGCTACTAAAAGGGTTTGAACAAGACACACAATTTTTCAATTTCATTTAAAACTCTAAGTAGAAGCTATATTGTCAAGTCTTCCTGATTAGATCTATTTTTAACCAAATTGGGTGGCTCCAGAATTGCTATTAGCAGTTAGCCTTTGTTTAGTACCTCCATTATTGTATGCAGATTAAACTATTAAAGACATTCTTTTGGCTGTTTCTTAAGCATGCCTTAAAATGACCTGAAAATATTGCACCATTTTTAAAAATTAAAACAAATTGAGAAATCTGATGTATTCTGTGTTTATAGTATTTTTCTAGCTTTTGGCAATGAGGCAGGAAAGTCATCTTAATTTTTTCTCTGAAGTCATGTACTATAATTTTTCTTCCTTTTCCCCCCTGTTAGTTTCCATACCTGTGACCCACCATTGTTACCAAAACTTGAGACCTTTTGGTTACATAGCTTCTTTCAGGCCCCTGCTTTGCTATTTCCTTTGTGTCACCTTTCAGTCCTTATTTGATCAATGCTAATTTTTCCCATTTCCTAATTTAGAACTAGTAAACTAGTCCATGTGGGTGGGCATACTGACCAAACCATTTTTTTCTTCTGTAATGAGTGTTCATGTGTGCATTTTTGAGAAAAAAATTCTGTAAAGATAAAGTTTTTAAACAGGCATGATGCACAGAAGCATCTCAGTTTGGAACATTATGGGCATTGCAGGCGGAATGTGGAGGAGAAGGTTGCCTCCATACTTTCCCCACCTTGCAAAGTGCTTTGATGGCTTAGTCCAGCCATTTTAAGTACAGTGCTTTGAAGTGGGAAGGAAGGAGCCTGAGGCATTTCTCTAAGGTTGCTCTTATGACCTCAGAGAAGGATCTGGTACAGCTCTTTCAGCGTGAGGGAAAGGGGAAGGGGTGCTCATTTGCAGATTTCCCACAACAAAGCCGGAGCAATTTTCTGACCTTGTAGCTTAGTATCTGAAAAATACTATGGTTGTTGCCCACTATTTTTCATTATTTACAAGTAGCTGTTCCCTATTTGTAAACTACTCCCCTATTTGTAAGCTACATTTGCTTTGTGTGTGCCCCAACTTTGATTAAAGGAGTCCTTAGACCCACTTTGGTCATTGCATATGTGTATATGGAACCTGACATTATATCTGAACAAGGAACATGTGTAAGGAATACAGAGCCACACATGTTGGTCCAACTTCTTCATTTCCACTTCTTCAGTGCCCGCATTTCCTGTATTGAACATCATCCTTCCTTGTTTGCTTTATCACGATTCTTGATCACCTCTGTGGGTTTTAATTGTATTCAAGTAAATGCATCTAGGAACCCTTTCAGACCTTCCCTCTTAAAACAGAAAAGTCAGGGACTAAGTTGATGGGAAGTTGTATACCCCATGTTATAGGATTTACCTTATCTTATGGTCCAGTGGTTTTGTTCTTTTAGTACTCTTTTAAGCATATCATGATCAAATGGATTGCCAGTCCAATGGGAATGTCATAATGTAGTATTGTTCTCTGAAGGTCTGGAGAGTTGACTTCCTTCCCCGTCTGGTCCTTTGTAACTTGGAACTGTGGTAACTGATGGCTTGCCTACATTTTGAGATCATCGATAATGTATTTTCTCTAGGTTTCCTCACCAATGAAGTGTGGCAAGTAGTTATTGGAGAGGGGGCCTTTTCATTTGTGGCACCCTAGCTTTGGAATGCTCTTCTCAGAGAGGCTTGCTTGATGCCCAATCCCATGGGTATCTGGCACCAGGTTCTTATTTTCCCAGTCTTTAAAACTTTTGGTCCATTTTACTTGGGCCTTTTTAAAGCTGATTTTAGTTTATTTTAATGTATCTGTTATTTCATTGAGAGTATACTGCATTGTAAGTCACCTTAATAAAGTATTTGAAGGACAAGTTATACATATTAATTATGCATACATGAAAAAGGAGAAGAGCATATGATTATATCAGCTCCACACAATTTGCCTTAGAATCGATTGTTTTTTGCACAAGTGCACATGAAGAAGGTTTTCAAATGGAACTTCTTTAATAGCTCAGAGTGTGAGCATTTGAGTTAGTCTGAAAGTGTTTGAGACATTCCATTTCTTAGATGGTCAGAAACCCTGTTAAAAATGTGTGAGGGCTTAAAGTGGGAAGTGGGCCCAAGCTCACATGCATGGCACAAGATTGTTTTATTTATGAAGTTTTGTGTTGTAGGCTTTTATTATGTAAACTGTCTAGAGAGCTGTGCAGCTATGAGATAGCATATAAAAGTGCTAAATAAATAAGTAAACATCAGTGTCCCTCAGCCCATGAGCTTCATTTCAGAGGCCCAAAGATAGATTTTAAGTGCATTTGGTTGAATGTGGTTAAAGACCTTCCAGTGATAAGGAAATCCTGCATTATTTGGGATCCTGACTTCTAAATGCATGCTGCTGAATATGTTGGGAGTCCCATTCAGACCTTCATGTTGAATCTGCCGTGGTCTGAAGTGGAGCTGGTATGCTTTGGGTATTTGGAAAAGGACTTGCATGAATTCTTCTCTCTCTTCCACATTGTGATCATGTAAATGTTCACCCCAGCATCTAAGAATTTTCTGATGATAAGTATATACACACAAAACTCACATTTAGTCTGTGCCTTTATTGGGATCTAAAAAATGACAAGAGTGTGCAAGCTTTTGAGTTCCCCAGCAGAATATTTTGTTTATTGTTTTATATAAATAATTTTTTATTGGCAGTTCATATGTCTTTTAAATTTGATATCTGCCCATTTATCCTGTGGGCTATAGGGTGGTATAGAAATACAGTAAACAAATAAATACTTTATCAAATTAGAATGAGTCAGGCAGCCTGGTGCCTTTCAGGTTTTTTTTTTTTTACTACAACTCCCATCAACAGAGCCAATGATCAGGGATTATGGTAGTTAAAACTATATGGAGGGTATCAGATTCCCTATCCCTGTGTTATTTATTTATTTAAAACATTTCTATGCTGCCCCCATCGCAACAAAGCCTCGGGGTGGCTCACAACAAAAACAAACAAAATCATACAAAAAGTATACACTAAAAATATTAAAACCCAGTGCATCTCGGCTTAATTTTTTTTTAAAATCCTACATAATAAATTAACACTTAAAATAAGTTTTAAATAAAAAGGTCTTAGCCTGGCACCGAAAAACAAATAACGACAGCGCCAGGCGGACCTCTCTGGGGAGCGCATTCCATAGGTGGGGCATGTTAGATGGTAAAAAGTGGGTGGGAGACGTATAGCAAAGTTAAAGTTTATACAAGTTGTGCAAATGGAGATTGCAGACTGAATTAGTTCACTAGTAGTAGGTGTTGCTATACCTACTACTAGTATATACCTACAAGTGTATCATATTACACTTAGGATTTTGGGACAAAGAAGCAATGTCTGACCCCCGTGGCTAAAACATAAAAGCCATGGGAAAACATACCGGTTCCTGAGTAGGCAGAGAGCAAAACTAAAAAGAAACATGAAGCTGGGGATTTCTTTTTTGATAGTGCACTCGGTATAACAGTCAACTGAAGGCTAATTCTGTAGAATGGTCTAAGTGGTTGAAGGAAATATAATCTTGGCCATTCATAATCTCAAAATTATGAGATTATGATACAGTAAATTTTATTCCTCTGCTGTTAGATTCTGCCTACATCATGGCCACAATGTCTAGTCTAGTTCTTGTAACTGCCCTTCCCACTATCTTTTTGCACTGATGAAGACTTGGTACACAAGACAGTATCTCGTAAGACTTTGATTCTAAAGCAAGTGTTAAGAGCATTGAAAAATAGTAGTATTGCCAGATCATTAGCTGCTTGAATTTCATAGCTACTGGGAAATTATTAGATACTATTTTGTTATGTACTTGGGAAACATCACAGCATCTGATTGAATATTATGTTTTATTACCTGTACAAACCATTAAAACTACAAAGAAAGTTTCCTTGTCCTTATTTTTGTATTAAGTTCCCAATAATATCTAATCAACATGCATATTTTTATTTCAACAGGTAGTGACATAGGTATAGACGAAATTATCACAGGAAACTTAAGCAAGTATGCAGCTATTCCACCTGGTTACCTGGCACAGCCAAAAAAGGGCCATCTTGTATTTGATGCCTGCTTTGAAAGTGGTAAGTAGAGTTATATAATTTGAAGACATATGGGTTTAGATGAGGGAATGTGTACAGTATTGTAAATTAAAGTTCATGTAAGTGTGATACATGTAGGTCTGTAACAAAAACAGAGCCTTGGCCTTAAAGGGATCCATAGTTTCTTTTCAACCATTGCAGCAGAACCAGTAATGCATACAGATAACAAGCATTTGTATCAGTGCTTATTTATTTATTTAAAGCATTTATAGAGCTCTCAGAACAGTTTACACAATATAATTAACATATACAAAATCCAACAATTAATTTGAAAAAGATTTACCTGCAATAAAAACATCTCTGTAGAATAAATTTTTGTAGATGTATACAACACCACCACAGCACAATAAATAAGTCAATATAAAACCAGAAATTCAACAATTAAAATGGTGAGAAAATTTAAAAAAATGTTTTAACCTGGTGCCAGAACATATATAGCATCAGCGCCAGACATATTTCCCTGGGAAGTTAATTTCACAAGTGGGGTATCATAGCCGAGAAGGTCATTCCCCTTGTAGCCACTCTCTTCACTTCAGTGAAGTGGTTCGTGGAGAAGAACCTCCATAAATTATCTAAGGGTCCGGGTAGGTGTATATGGGAGAAGATGCTCCATTAGATATCCAGACCCTAAGCCATTAGCATACTGATGGCAGGGATCCAAGAGGAAATACTTCCTGGTTAACATGTTTTCCCCTCTGATTCTCAGGGATGGTAGGTGCTAAGCTTGTATTTCCATTGGTTTCAGCCTATGTGGAGACATCCTTATGGTGCTTTTGGTTTTGATTGGATATTGAATTTCTCAGTCTTTGCTCTTCCAAAAACTGAAAGAATAGGCATATTTCTTATAACTTTGTCTCCACCTTCATTTGTCTGGAGAGCCCCTGTTGTTGCTTAGTGCTGGACTAATTTTAAATGTACTAAACATATAAAGCTAGTTAAGAAATGTTTTTTTTATTTTGTTTGCATGCAAACTGCTATTTCTCTAACTTCGTTTAACTTGAATCCTCAGTAAGAGACTTCATAAAAAAGCCTCACTTGGATGGTCTTACTCACAGCTGACTGCTCTGTTGAAAACAACTGTGTATTAAATACTTGCATACTAAAAAGTCACTGGCCTTCCTCTGTCCTTTATCCTAATACTTTGGAGGTGCATTTCCACATTTTATATACTTAGTGTGATGATGATGATGATGATAGTTGCTCATATATAAGTAATACATAGGGCACTTGTCAGCACATTCTACAAGAAACACAAAGTTTACATGCATGCTGGCTGTAAGGTCCAACATACTTGACACATACAGTATTATGATTGCCCTGGAAACAGTTACTTTAGATTTGAAATATTTGGGAGTTACATTCATCATGTTAAGAGGAGCACTATCAGCAAGAAGAGCATTATTAGCACAGACCAAAGGTCCAGCCTCTTTTTTCCCACAACCAGAAACATCTGCAAAGCCTATCCTGTAATCAGGACTTAAAAGCCATAGTTCTTTCCCAGTGTTGTTCTCCAGCAACTATATTCAGTGGCTAACCACATCTAAACTTGGAGATTCTAAGCAGATAATAGCCACTGGTAGGTAAATCTACCATGATTTTATCTAATTCTGTGTTAAAGCTATCTATACTATCACCATGTTTTATGGCAGTAAATTCCATAGATGAATTTTACATTGTGTCAACATGTGCTTCTTCTCTCTATCCTAATGTCTTTTAATTGGGATAATTGGATGACTTTGTCTTCTGAATTGAATGACTTCTAGTGCTATGAGACAAGAAACTGTGGAACTGTGGTTGCTGAGTACACATGACATGAGAACTGCTGAGCAGGGACTGTGTATGCAGCCTGGTACCCTCAAACAGCATTGCTCGTTGTGGGTTAAATAACCCAGGTTGAGCTGTGGGATGTCATCCAAACATGGTCATTGTATTGTACTTGTTTGGATATTCATCTTTTGATGCTGATGTTGTTTGGAAGTAGTGTTCCTCATATTTTCCAAAGACAAAGTGAGATTTTGTCACCTTTAGGAAAGGGCAATATTAATTTTCCTTACAAGAGGGTTTACCATGACAGATTGATAGATAGGTATTGAAGAGGCTGTATTCTGATCCATTTTTTAAAAATCTTCTAGATGCCAATGACCATTTAAATTATAGTCCGATATTACTCTTCTCTTTGTTAGGGAAAGTCAGGAAACATGTATTTAAAAGTGAACTTTGGGGATGCCTCTGATAAAAACCACTTAGGCCCTTTTTATTGTAGATTTGGAATTGAAACAGGCTTAGTAGCTTTGATGATTTATGTGCAACTTGAGTCTGAAAGGGAAAATGTCCATATATGCCCAGCCGCCCCTTGAGATCAGCAGGAGAGGCCCTCCGGGAGCCCTCAGTGAAGGAAATTAGGAGGGTGGCTACTCGGAGGAGGGCTTTCTCAGCGGTGGCGCCTAAGTTATGGAATGCGCTCCCCAGAGAGGTCCGCCTGGCGCCTTCGTTATTTGTTTTTCGGCGCCAGACGACCTTTTTATTTATGCAGCATTTTAAATGTTAATATTATTGAATTTTATTCGGCCAGGGCGGCTTATTTTATTTTACTGTATATATTTTAATTGTCATTGTTTTAATGTATTTTGTATTCGATGTTGTAAGCCGCCCCGAGGCCTTGGCAAGGGGCGGCATAGAAATATTTTAATAAATAAATAATAAATAAATAAATAAATAAAGTAAGCTGATACCCAGAGACGTATAACTGTTGATACCCTACATCAGGCAAGTACAACCATTTTGGCTCTGAGGACCACTGGGTGTTTGTTGGGGTGCCAGAGGCAACACATACATGCACATGTACATTCACATATGACTTGTAGACAACATGCAACTCAAACGTACATGTACACAGCTCACTTAAATTCAGCTCCTACCCAAGTCTGTTTTAGAGGCTTGGTACCTGTACTCCAATAAAAGGCCTCTGCTCTCAAACCACCAGATTATTCAGGAATCCTGGTACCTAGCCTTCTTCCACTGATCTATTCTTTTGCTGAAAAATTCTGACATTCCACATTCTGGTTTCTGGGACTTATTCAGAAGCAACAACAACAAACAAAAGCAAAATTAAAGAGAAAAATATTGTAGAAACAGGCTTTATGGTTCCTTCCATAGAAGTCTCATTCCTAGATTGTTGATTGAAACAGGCAGGAAGCTTGAAGTGCTGCTTCCTAGGATGTTCTGAAGGCATATGCTTTGCGTGCTAAATGTCCCATGTTCAGTTTCTTCTATTTCTGTATTGAAAGATATCAAGTGATGTGAAAGACAACTGTCATTTGTTAATTATTGTACACATTTGTTAGCTGGAAGGATGAATAGTCTGACCTTATAGAAGAAAGCTTACTAAATTCCTGTACTCTAGAGGTTACTGTGGTTAACTGTTCTTTAGTTCTCTGAGAGTTATTTCCTAGAGTGTCTCCAATTGACATCTTCAAGGGATATGTAACTAAAATAATTTGCAACTCTGAACATTTCATTGGTGCTTTACTTTTGAACTAGAGCTTTTATGAATTATTTTTCCAACATTTATTTTCTTACTTCTGCATACTCTTTTTAAAGTGGAGTATTGCTGGTCTTTGACCTATTTGAAAATAATAGATTAGAGGTCATAAATAAGTATTGACTGGGTCATAAATTCTATTTCTGATACTTCTGTTCTAAACAATGCAATTTCAAAATGCTCGGTAATGATGTTGGCAGTATATGGCCTTTGTAAAGGTTCAAGTTAGTTTTAAAATCAGAATCAACCCTATTTTTGTCTGGCAGCATGCATAATTAAGTTAACCAAAGATAGTGTTATTTTGAAATCTGTTGCAGTGGTCATTGCTAAGAGTCTGAGGAGTCAACTATAAGGAGGAGTGGCAGAAAGATAGGACCTCTTTGCCACCTGCACCATGGGTACCTCTACCTGTTCACGTCTCTAATGTATTCTAAATATCTTCCAAATAGATATTTTTCAAGCATGGCACCATTGATCTGTATTTAGAGCCAAAGTAATTTCTTGAGGGGTGGAGGAAGTAGTGAAGGGGTACACTTTATTGAGGCCTAAAGATCTAGGGAGGTATGTTTTGCTCAGACTACAGCCTGGTTACTGTGAGGGGAAAAAATGAGGCTAAATTATCGATTGTGGGTATTTATTTATTTAAAATATTTATATGCTGTCCTGTCGTGAAAGCCTCAGGATGGCTTACATAAATGAAATACAATAAAATAAAATATAACATGAATAAATTATCGACCCACACTGGCTGCAGTTAAAAACATACAGGACACAATATTAAAATTTATTAAAATATTGCTGAAATAAAAAGGTCTTAACCTGGCGCTGAAAAATAAACAACAAAAGCGCCAGGTGGACCTCTCTGGGGAGCACATTCTATAGGCGGGGCACCACCGCAGAGAAAGCCCTCCTCCGGGTACTTTGCCTCCTCATGTCTTTCATGGAGGGTTCCCAGAGGAGGGCTTCTGCTGCTGATCTCAGGGGGCGGGAGGGCAAATATGGAAGAAAGTGTTCTTCAGGTATCCAGGTTCCAAGCCTTTAAGGGCTTTATAGGTAATAACCAGCACCTTGAATTGAGCCTGGACTTTGATCGGAAGCCAGTGAAGCTGATAGAGGACTGGGGTTATATGAGAATAATGCCCAGTCCCCATCAGCAACCTGGCTGCTCTGTTTTGCACCATCTGAAGTATGCGGACTGTATTCAAGGACAGTGCCATGAAGAGCACATTGCAGAAATCCAGCCAGGAAGTAACCAATGCATGTTTCACTGTTGCTAGGCAATCTTCCTCCAGGTAGGGACGCAGCTGATGGATTAGCTGAAGCTGAAGGAAAATGCTCCTCACCACCGCAGTCACTTGAGCTTCCAAGGACAGCTCTGGGTCGAGGAGCACTCCCAAGCTGCAGACCCTCTCCTTTAGAGGGAGTGCAACCCAGTCCAGGG